TTGTTTTCCTACCCTGTGCTTTTGTTTTTGTTTCTGATTCTCAGCCAAGTTTGATTGGGGTTTTGGTTTGCAAACAACCTGTAGTTATTATCCCCATTGGTGGCAGCGATGACTGGGAATCTGGTTCTGTGGTCTGACCACTTGGTGATCTGTCTGGTAGAACTGGAATCTAGTCTTGCTCAGGTGAAAGATGACTGGACATTTGTTTATTGTTGGTTTTAACTTGTTTGCTGCCTTTCTATTTGTGAGTTCAAATCAGGACAATATTTTGTGCCCAGTGGAAAAGCCATTAGTCTTGCTCCAGTGTTTACTTTTGATCTGTAGCAGAGGCCATTGGACTTATGCTCTAAGTTCTTTATTTGTCTGTGCTCTGTACCTGAGGTGGGGGGTGTGGGAGGGGGGAATCACTTGTGTGGATGAAATATTTTCCTACCTCCCGAGGACAATAATAAATTAAAATATAAGGACCTTTGCTTCTGATTAGTTTATAGAGAGTAATAGCATTTAAATAAATCTCACATTTCCCAGATTCTAGAAAATAAAATTTTAAAAATTTTGATGTGTTTCTTTTTGAGAAAAAGACCTTTCTCATCAAAACTGCTGACTTCATAAAGTATTTTTCCCCCCTCAGGAAATAAGTTTCCATGATGAAAGTGAATGCTTATATAAGTCAGACTGACTTGATAATCTTATTTTAAAAACAGCTCTATGCCTTTTCCTTTTTAAATCAGTATATAGTATAATTCAAGTATAATTTCATTTTTTAAATAGTTTGGATTTGGTTTATCGTAAAGAGATTAGTTTATCTGAACTAATGTCATACATTAGTTTATTCAAATATAAGCTAAGTTACTTTCATATGATGCTTAAGATTATGAAAAATATAAAATTTGTGCTCAACTAAACAAAATTATATGGGTAACCAACCTTTTAAAATCAATAATAAGTATGTTCTGTGATGTGTCAGCTTAAACCTAATTTCCAATATCTTTAAGTACCTTTGTCTTAAAGTGTCTGGTTGTTCCAGAATTAAAGAAAACCGCGAAGAAAAAAAGTTGATGAAAATTTTAAAATTGTAGGTCTGCAGAAACGGAGCTTTATTTGACTTGGTTTGTAACACCTGCAAAGAGTTAAGTCTATAAAGACATAATAAGATGTTAAAATTCTGGCAGAGCTTACGAAGGTTTATTTATGAAGTACTTATTTTTGTTAAATGTAATGCATGACAAGTACCCTATTAATGTAAAACTACAATGCAGTTATCTTTACTGAAACGGAACATTGGTCTTGGAGAAATCAGCCTATGCTTACGAAAGGCAGGAAAAATTTATTTTTTTGTGTAATCTGCCCGGAAAGCAGTTTCGGTATCTCACAAGAGGAACTTTGTGTACCTATGCTAACTGGGATATATCCTTGCATTTTTAAAATGACAAAAATCGCCCTAACTGGTTTGGCTTGGTGGATAGAGCATCGGCCTGCAGACTGAAAGGTCCCAGGTTCGATTCCAGTCAAGGGCATGTACCTTTGTTGCGGGCACATCCCCAGTAGGAAGTGTGCAGGAGGCAGCTGATCGATGTTTCTCTCTCATCGATGTTTCTAACTCTCTATCCCTCTCCCTTCCTCTCTGTAAAAAAATCAATAAAATATATTAAAAAAATAATAAAATAAAATGACAAAAATCTTCCTCATTTCTAAATGATTTAAGACTTCTTGTTTATTATAAAATAACCTATTGTCACTTAATTATTATGGAACCAAACTGCGAACACTTGTTGTTCAAAGACATGGACAATCCTATATTATTCAAGTGATAAAATTTCTGGTGAATATTTGATTTTGCCTTACCGAGATCAGACCCTAAATTTAGAGGAAAAAAAAATTCCACGGTATCTTTTATACCTGAACAATCTTTAAATTTTCCCAGAGGACCCCTGGGCAATCATAAGATTTTTTCCTTAATCCTACCAAAAAAAAAAAAAAAAAAGCTAAAAAAAATTAGGTTTTTGTGCACTGGGCCTCTAGTTTATAAATAGGTCAAAACTATCAAGAATCGCATAGGAAAACTTGTCAAATCAAATGAGAAGTTTGCCTTTCCCAGGCTAATTTTGGTACAGGTAAAATATCTATAATAATCAAAGTGTAATATGCTAATTAGACCAGACATCCTTCTGGACATCCTTCCGAATAACGTTCCGGATGAAGCTGGGATTGCGAGAGAAGCCCAGGTCCTGGGTTCCTGCCAGTGGCTGGAGGGAAGCCCAGGTCCCGGGTGCTGGAGGGAAGCTGGTGCCAGCAGCCAGGGGAAGGACGGCCTGCTCTTGCACGAATTTCGTGCATTGGGCCTCTAGTTATAATACAAATAAAGATCAGAGATGCATACTTATAGAAAGGCTCTGGATATACCATGTATCAATGTCCTCATTATCTGTGATACATTCCTACCTTCAGGGGAAACACTGATTAAATAAGACCAATGCCTTATGCCCCAATAGATTTTAGCTCTCCTTTTTGCTGACACTGTTTATTACATTAGCCATAGATTAACCATGGTCATTTACTCTTAACCTCATCATTAGTCTCTGCTTTTCTCTCATGTTTACCTAAAGACTCTGCTTAAGTTATAGGCTAGAATGTGCCTTAACAAAAAAAGACAGTTTCAGAGCCTCATTGGAAGAAGTTTGCCAGGTACTCTTCACTCTTGAGAGTTTAAAGAATAGACTTATGGGTAGAAGCTTCTCAGCTGACATTACGTAGACAAGTACAAGACAGGCTAGGCAGCTGCTTCAGATTTTCAGGACTTATTTTAGTCCAGAAATAGATGACTTCATGTTAGCAATGACCCAAGATGCACAGGAATAAGAATAAATTACATAGAAATGATGGAACTGATACAGGAAATCTAATTTCTAAATGTAAATATGTGTTTTGGAAAATTACTGGTATTATTTTCAATGTTCTATTTTCTGATGGGAAGACCCTTTAGCATTCATCTTGTCCTATCTCTAACCTTCAATTTAGCTGACTATGATTTTGTAAACTAAATAAAACATTCTCTTAATGGTAGCTTGTTCTGCTTGGTCCCTCAGAAATCAGGAACCAATATTTTTTCTAAGACTCTTTACTTTTTAATGGCAGTAACATGACTTGCAGAGGCTCAATAGAATCTGTCCTCGGTTTTACTAGGATGTAATCAGACAAATATTCTATGCAACAGAATCCAAACCTACACTGTCATATTTAAAAATAAGCATCATTTCATCAGCTATGACAAGCCCATTATTAAAGGAAAAGAGTTGTAACTTTATATTTGGAGCCACAAAGCTCTTCCAAGAAGTTGAACTAGGACCTACTGGTGGCTTACAAGGCATCAGGTTTACAGGCAGTAAGGAAGGTCACTTGGGATTGCCAGGAGCCTCAGCAGATGTGGGGACACTAGAGGAAAGAGAAACTCACCAACACTTATAAGTGCTAAAGATGAAAGCCAGTGGAAATGAATTTTGAGTTTGCTTTCCTATCCTTGGAGCACAAGAGTAAATAAGAGCATTTGAGGAAGATCTTTGGAGCGATGGAAAGCACTGAAGTGCTCTCCTAGATTTCTTAATAAATTAGATAGATGTTAACTCTCCTACTCCATTAATAACAGTTGTTCAACACGGTAGAGTAGTAGGTTTGCTATCCATATACAATACGGCTTTCATATGTTAATTAGAACTTCTAACTTATGCCAATGAATCAAGCCCAAATACAATGCCTTTTTCTGACCATGAAAAACCTCTAGAGATTAGATGACAAAGGAAACTGTGATATTGGTGTATCATCCAACAGACACACCCGAGGAATATCTAACTCCCTGAGGATACACACATTTGTATTCTTACTATTACATATTAGGATGTTTCAAAACACTGCAACAGTAGACATTAAATTATCAAATCTATGAGTAATGCAAATTAATCTTTTGCTAAAATGTTAAACAAATTTTGTCCTGTATAGATGCCAATGATTTCTGCCCGTTATAATCAACACAAAGGTTACATTTGTATTGTCCTATAGGGCATTAACATGTTTGGTATATAACTCAGAAATCTTATTCCAGCATACTTCCTTTCAGTAACTAACACACTTTTGATACTCCTATACTTTTGTAAACCAGCTTTACCATCCTGCTGCTTCCCTCATTAAAGAAGTACAGAATTCATCATTAATGAATTAACCTAATCTGTGACAGCGATTCATCCCATAAACAAAAACAAACCAAGCAAAAAAAAAAAGTATGCTTAAAAGAAAAAAGAATTTAAAAATGCAGTAATTTGTCCTCATTCATTATAGACTTCTCAAGGAATGTTCATTCCTTTCTCATTATTTTTAATATTTTCCCAAATAAGCATAAATCCATTTTAAATAGAAAAGGACAAGCCAAAAACATTTGATTATATGTAGTCGGGAGTCACTATATATATACTAAGAGACATGGCTGAAGGGAGTGTGAGTTATGTGTGTGGGTGAACAGTGCAGAAAAAAGGTTGAGCACCATTTTGGCAACCTTTCAATTTTCCAGACAACTTACTATACAGAATCCTGCCTAAACCCTGATGCGTTCTAGTTTCACTGATTATTTCTATGATACCATGCATACACAAATTTGATGATATACATAATATAAATTGATGTTTCCTGACAGTCTTAAAGAAAAATTTTGTAAGACATAAGAAACTCAGTAAAATTCACAACTACCTTTGTTAGGTGTCTCAGGAATTTATACCTGCGAGAACTCTGCAGAGCAACTTAACATAATATTAGGAACATATGGGCCTTCTAAATACCTACAGGTAACTAATAACAGTGACCTGGGAAGAGGAGAAGTAGAGATAGTGGGAGAAATTCTAGGAAGGCACAGCAGTGGCTGGTGCACATGGAAATTCTCCGTGCCCACATAAAACCTTGGAGTTTTTCTCCAAGAAGCTGTTCAATGAAACAGAGAGATCAAGTCAGGTGATTACCAATCGCTCCATCTCCTGCTCCCTGAGTCTCTCCTCCCTTTGCCGCCGGTGGTAATCCATCAGGTCGTCTCGTCCTGAAATGGAACTGATGCTGCTTTTCCGTTCCCGAAGGACAGGCTGGGGCGTTCCTGAGGCCTGTCTGAGGCTCTCCAAATCTGCATCATCCAACTCCACAGACCCACAAGAGAAGTTCCTCCTGGCCGCGAACACTCTGTCTGGCTCTCCAGGAGGAAACGAGTGATTGGAGCTGGTCCCCGAGTAGGAAGCCTTATCGAGGTCATCAGAGGTACAGGAGGAGGTGGAGGCCAGGAGCATCTTCCGCGCCAGGCGAGGGCTGCCAGGGACACTGAGGGTGGAGCTTACATAAGGACTGCCCTCGGACACAGAGGTTTTATAGGGTAAAGCGCCTGAGCTCAAAGAAGAAAAATTCAGGTAATTGTCGTTGTCTGTGATGCTATGAGGTAGGTCCTTGTCCCCCGGCTTGGCTCGTTTGGAATTGCCCAGAGAGTTTCTCGGAGGCAACGTGAGAGGCGTCAGCTGGTTCTCTGTGGCCCTGTGCAACCTGGGCAGCGATCGGCTGTAGGCTCCCATGTGACTCAGGCTGCTGCCCGAATACTTCCTAGTTCTTACACCGATGTTCTCAGATGCCGGCTCCTTGTGTCTGGTCAATTTGGGCTGCAGTGTCAGGCTGTCCTGGATGCTCATTTTTCTGGCTTGCTTTGGGCTTGAGGGCATGCTCGCCGCCCCTGATCTGCTGATGGGAGAGGGGCTGGTGTCGCTCAGGGAGCTCCCATTCCACATGGCCAGGAGGGAGCCAGACGCCTTGCGGCTTTCCAGCCCTCCGAGAAAGTAGACATTGTCATGGGATTTGTTTCTGGAGCTATGTTTGGAATAGGGAGGCTTCTCCGAAAGCCTCAAGGACCTTTCACTGTCCCGGCCAGTATAATGATCAAAGTCCGTTCTTCCACGGGGATATCCACCGACGGAGGGTGAAGTGCTGCGTAAAGGAGTGGGAGGAGGTTTCATGGAAATATTCTTGTCAGTTCCATCACAAGAGAATGTCTTGGTTCCCTGGATTTTGGCCAAGGAGGGGCTACTTCTGACACTGGTTCCCAAAGGGGAAGGGCTTCTCTTCGCAGGCACAGGTTGTGAGAGGGTCAGGTAGGAACCAGAATAGTCTCCGTTGGCTTTAAATCTCAGGCTGGAAGAATACTTCTTCGGGCTCAGGCTCTCCATCATGTTTTGGGGATCGTTCTCAAGGGAATTCGCCGCAAAGCGTGCCTCTAAACTACCATTCTGTAAATCCAGCTGTTGTTGCACATGGCTATGCTCTGCCATAATGTTGCTGGAATCTGTAAAGGAAAAAAGAAGAGAAAGTTTTACTTAAAGAAGGTTTAAAAAGACCAAGTTCTTATCAGCCCACATCTGAACAAATAGCCTTGCGGCCTGACCTCATGTAATTAACAAACACAATCTCTGTTTTAGTAATAAACCTAACAAACGTGTACTGCAAAATGAAGGAGAATAAGGACCACTGATCTGGGATGTTGATTGTTCAAAAGAAAAAAAAAAGAAACTCAAAAGGATAACAGTGATATTTGAGAGGAACAAATCCCTAAATGCAGGTGAAGGATTAGGCTGGTACATAAAAAAAAGCCCATCTCCCTTCAGGGTTCCGGTCCCACGCAGACCACCTGCTTCCTGAGCACCTAGCAAACACCCAAAGGGAGGATGCAATGGGCCCTCCTTTACATGTCTCTGCTAGAATCATTAACTGCTCAGAAATAAGGTCCTGAGAAAACAAAATTCACATTTTGGCTGAGAAAGAACATTTTATATTAGACGCTGACAAAAAAACCCATCAAGGTAAGAAGATGGTTCATTAAGAGGGGTTTCAACAAACCTCAACAAAGAGACTTAATACAGCTCCTGTAGCCACCAGGAAAAGGCAAGTAATAGAAGAAACAGAGTGTTTCCCAAATTACCATAGTATCCAGGAAAAGGGTGGACAGAATTCTTAAAAACCTGAAACTGACTTTTCTTTCAAGCTCCGGGTACCCCAAATGCACCATGCTCATCCTTCATCTCAAACTCCCTCCTCTCTCAGAAACACCTTTCTCCCTCTTTTGCACCTGTTTGAACCCACCCATTCCTCAAGACTCAGATTAGGATTCTATCTTCCATGCTTACAATTTTTTTGAAATGTATGCAACCATATGGACATATTTGGATGTTAGCTTGAACAATATTAACTTAAGAAACTAAAGTTTCAGTCTATAAAACTATATCTTAATTAAAAATTATCACTGCAGCCCTAGCTTGTTTGGCTCAGTGGATAGAACGTCTGTCTGCAGACTGGAGGGTCCTGAGTTCGATTCTGGTCAAGGGCAGAGATACCTCGGTTGCAGGTTCTATCCCTGTCCCTGGTTGGGGTGCATGCAGTAGGCAACCAATCTGTGTATCTCTCTCACATTGATGTTTCTCTTTCTCTGTCTCTCCCCCTCCCTTCTACTTTCTCTAAAAAACAATGGAAAAATATCCTCAGGTGAGGATTAACAAAAAAAATTAAAATCAATAAAGGTTAAATCCTTGATAAATTCTGTTTTTAAAATAAATAAATAAATAAGTACATAAATAAAAATTTTAAAAAATAAAAATTATCACTGCATGTGAGAAGGTTTATACATCTAATTGATAAAAAAAAATTATCTTCAGATCATCATCAAAGTGGACACACAGACATTCTCACTGAACTCATGCACTGCTAAGATGGTCCTCCAACTAACTCCTCAGGCATCTCAACCCTAGTTATTATATCTCTGGTCTCTATTTAAACAGTGTTGCTTATGGTTAGTAATCAGTTTCATAATGTGCTTGTTTCTGTCACTAGGCCACAAGATTAAGGAAGAGGGATAAGTCTCGTACTTCTATCTTATCTCCACCCTCTCCTGACTCCCACTGTTCCATGGGTGAGACACTCAATGAACATGTTTTTAATTTCGTCACAGCCTTCCCCACTCCCTCCCAGCCACAGACTGAAGGAACTTCGTCTTGCCTGCTCAGCATCACAGACTTCCTAGGCAAGTTCAGGCAGCCTAATAAGGAATTGCTTTTATCCACAGAGCGGGGCCAACAAACAGTCTGGCTGCTTAAATCCTAGTGATGGGCTTAGCATCCATCTGCCCATAAAGCTGTAGCTTCCCCCAACAAGCTCTGCCTTGGATTCCTTATCTTCCAACCAAAAGCCCTGCCCTGATGTATAAACAGATGACTAGCTTTTGAAGTATCCTCACAAAAGTAAATAAAATTGGAATTCTCCTTTAGAATTGCCACCCAGCTGGAATCTGGCCCTGCCCTCTGGCTCTTGCCCGGTCTTTTGTTTCTCAGGAACAGTGCCATCTCTGCCCCCAAGAAAAATGTCCCTATGTCCCTCTCAGCAACTGTCTCCCATCATTCTGACCTTGAAAGCAACAGCAGCCTGGTCTGAGACATATCTCACTATGCCTCCTTGGAGGACTGAAACCAAGATGACCTCTAGGCTTGGTCCCTTCTGTTCCCAACTGGTTTCATCTCTGGTTGGTTTGCCACATTGAAATTCCAGCAAACCTTGGCCAATTCCCTCAAGTTAGATATTTTATAATTGAGGACACCAGAAAATAGTTGGGATACTGAGGATATTATTGGGGTATGGGGGCGAGACTTTCCCCTTCACCATTTCCTGTGTCCTCTATCACTTATCTATCATCTCCCTCCTCATTTTATCTATCAACAAATCCTACCAACATTGTTCTTCAAACATATTCTAATCTGATCATTTCTTACCATTCCCACTGCTACCTCCCTATTGCAAGCCAGTATCTTCTACTAGAGGCCCGGTGCACGAAATCATGCACAGGTGGGGTCTGATCAGACCACCCCAATCAGGGCAGATTGGGCAGGGCCAGCTCGGGGGAGGACATGCAGGAGGTTGGCCGACCGGCCCTGCCCCTGATTGGGGTGGGGAGGCCCATCAGGGGTGGGGCTGGCCAGGGGGAGGGGCCCTGGGCAGTTGGTAGGCTGGCCCCGCCCCCTGGTCGAACTCTGGTCAAACTACTGGTGGAGGGACAATTTGCATATTACCCTTTTATTATATAGACGGTAGGCTGGCCCCGCCCCCTGGTTGAACTCCGGTCAAACTACTGGTGGAGGGACAATTTGCTATTACCCTTTTATTATATAGGATTGCCTTGTCTATATGCTTCTTCTCCTGCAACAAGAATAACCACAGACAGAATCACAACAAAAAGTTAGCAGTGGTTTATCTGGGTGGTGATTTTTAATTCATCTTTCTCATAGAAGTTTTTATTTTTCACATTTTAAACAATGCATTCAGGTTACCTTACAAATTAGAAAAAAACTCACTTAGTATAAAATACTAGAATACAATCTATAGTTAAACTTTGTTTTCAAGTTAATTAGACCCATTTTTCTTAAGCTCATGACCAATTTTTGAGCCAGATATTAGCTCTTCCAAAAAATGTTTATTTTAAAGTACTTTTTATTAGACTAACTTAATACACAAATATTTGAAGACTTCTACAAGACTCTTCTTTTTCTGAACTCTTCTAAATGACTCAGGCAAAATGTTAATTATGAAAATGTACCCATTTCATATTTTATGCATCTGAAAAACTACAAAATCAAATATAATACCTTCCCTAATATGAATAAAGTGAACAAAGTGTTATTTTAAAAAGTCTCCAGATGTTTGTGGAACATAGCTTAGACAATAATATTAGTATCTTCATTTTATAAAAAATGTAGTTACTAGGATATTCATGATTTCAAGTGGTTCTGCTTACTGTATAGAAAAAAATTTAAATCTCAATAGGTATTTGTAAGTATTTCATTAAGTAGGTATTAAGTGCCAAACACATATCAGACTTTGGATTAGCAGGCATTAGTGTAGCCCACTAATATTCCTGTTCTCCTCCTTCCAGAAACATAGCGATGTTGCTCTTCCTCGTTCCTGTGACATTAGGTATGGCTATGTCCCTTGCTTAGAGCAATCAAATATGAGAGAAAGTGACATGTCAATTACAAGTTGAACTGTCAAGGGCCAGAGCAAGATTCATCATTTTCATCTTACTGCTAAGATGACTAGCATGCATTCAAGTTTGTGGAGGATTCACTAGCCTACCCTCTACAACAAGGACACCATAGAACAGGGCCCTTGCCAACCCTAGACTGTCTTAAGCCACAGAGATTTGGGAGTTGTTACTAGGAAGGTGTTAATCTTCATTAAGTGCCTACCATAAACCAGGCTTTGAGCTAGGCATGGAAAGTATGCGGTCAAAGACATCCTTTCCCACCTTTACACAGCGTACAGTCCAAGGGGGAAGACACACATATAAACAAATGCTGGAACAGTGTGATACATACATCAATAGAAGAGTGATTGACAGATTGGCAAAGGGGCATGGAGGGAAGCTAACCCAAGAGAGAGGGGTAGTCTGGGGAAGTTTCGATAAAAAGAAATGACAATGATGTTAAGTCCTGTAGGAAGAAGGGGAATCTGAGGGCTATTATCCAATGGTAGCATAAAGCCACATCCACACCTAAAATGCTGTGATTTTAAGGATATACACTAAATCCCAAGCCCATTTGGGGCCAGACTACTGGTACATCCAGCAACATCATGTCTCTGACAGAACAAAAATTGTGTAGGAAAACAGCAACAGTTATTTTTTATATCGTGGCCCTTAAAAATCTAGGATATAACACTCTTGGGAAAAACAGTATTTAATAGCCATGTATTTCCCTCTCCTAGTTAATCCTTTCCCATCTCCACCACTGTATAAGACAAGCTGTCTGGGATCTAAGGCATATGCCTGGCCTAGGGGTGATTTAAATTAGACAGCATCCTCTAACCATTTAGGATATTTTAGACAAGGATAGAAAAGGAAATCCATAATAAGGTGTTAGAATACACAAGAAAATAATTGAAGCCGGTTAGTGGGGAAGACTTTGGTTTTAAGATAATGTATACAAAATGGGAAACAGACCTAAGTTAGAGAGAAAAGGTATTTCCACAATGTGCAGAGACAGCAATCCAGAAAGCAAGGCAGAGCAGATGTTATGAAATAGAAGTCAAAGCTAAGCATGAAGCCCAAACTGCATTATAAATATTTACTCTAACAGTAGAGTTGAAAGGTTTAGCACCTCATGTCAAAATGGATATGTAAGTTTAATTTTTGACTCAGAAATATAAGATAATGATGTCATTTTTTTAAATCCTTGCCTGAGAACATGCTTAGAGAGAGGAAGGAAAGAGAGAGAAGTGAGAGAGAAACATCAATGTGAGAGAGATACA